TCCCTTCTTCACCAGAGTGGAAAGGCTAAAGTTTGTTTGCTTGTTTTTGTAATTTTAATTTGCCTACAACTTCTAAAATAAAGCGAAATTCAAGAAAGGTTTCATTAAGTTACTTCGTTCAGTGCGCTCAGGTTCCGTGCAAATTAAAAACCAGTCAAAAAGTCGTTGTAGGGCCCCTTTAGTACACTGAAGGCGACACGTACTGAATACATGTAGCGATGTAGGAGTGTGGCAGATTTAGAAATGGAGACTTTTTTTATTATAAGCTTGACCACTCATTCCAACTAACTATCCTTAATCCTAAGGTTAGGTTGAACGGAAATGTATTACCAGATGCACCCCTCGCTGACAGTAACTCCTTCAAATGGCCACAACATTTCAATATCCCTCCTCCAGGTCATACTGGAGAAAAACTAATATTTTTATTTTTCGATTAATATCGGTTAAAACCGGTTACCGGTAAATAAATTACGGTTACGATTTTTTATACATTTCAAATAACGGTTTCGTTCCGGTTCCGGTTACTGAAACCATTTCATTCCTAAACGGTTTTCGGTTACGATTTGAGTCCTTGCAAAATACTGAAAGAAGATCCTTTATATTTCGGCAAAAGGTTTCATTTCATTTATTTCACCTTAAGTTAGGGCATACCATTAATCAAACTGTCATAAACAGTATACAATTCATTTAGACGGCATCTTGAATGTTGAGCTCAAATGAAAGATAATAGGACGCCGCATATACTTAAACGTGGGTTAAGAGATACTTTACCAACCGTACTTAATAAGTTTATGTGAAAGTCTCATGCTACGTGAGGTTCATTAAAATTAGTTTGACACTTTCCTAATCGTTTGTGCTGGGGCTAATTCTAATTGCAGACGACGTGAGTTCTAATATGACAGCGCGCTTGTTAGGAGACCACTGTCTTTTTTTTTATTTTAAAGTGTGTTACCCTAAACGCCAGTAGTATATTTTAAGCATGGCGCTAATCATCCTAAATAATAAGCCAAGTGGCCAAGGATAAACATTAACTTAAATTTGACCGTTGCTGATTTCGTCTTACGTCCACAAGCCGTTTCTATTTGTATTGGGATTCTCCAAAAGACAGACATTTTTCTAAAGAATCTAGATACAACAAAAAACGGTTCATGGACGAAAGGTCAAAACTTGATGTTTGTTTTAATAGCAGCTGATAGATTTATTACGTCAAGATTGTAAATGGCTGATAGTGTCGATCCCATGCTTACCAACTTAAGTATAACTCCACTACAACGACGAAAACATATATTGTAACAGCTTCATTTTTTAACGTAAATCAGCTCAACATAAATTATCTACGCCATTTAAAACTACGCTCGATTCAAGGACCTGGGGCTGACACAGTGAAAGGTAAATGCTACCGAGAGCCTGAATATTTGTTCTGCGATTTCTTACTGCGTAAGACAACCTGCTTCCAGATTTATTTAAATATAACTTCATTTGAGGTTTTAAATATAATCTGAAATGCCCTGCCCAGCAGAACGTCACTCAACTGAATTTCTAGCGTTCTCTACTTTATTATCTCCTCTTTGAGCTTTCATGTGCCGAGAAATGTCAGTGATGCTTTTTTACAGAAGTGTATATGTTGCAAACAACACACCCCTATAGAAGCCAGTGAATCAGCATTTTAAGTAAATGAATAATTCACCACTCTGTTTGCACTCAAAACTAATTGTGTCGATTAAATAATTGCCTTCATTTTTATCATCCACAAAATAAAACGCATTTCTAATTTATATCAATTGACGACCCCAGATTTTCGCTAGGGTCGTCACTTGGTATTCAATTATGAAATAACCACCAAAATTAGGTGTACAAAAGGAAAACATCATTTACTTGCTTTTACACCATGGTATGTAGAAAAATTGGCTGCAAATATTTCAAAGCTAAACCAAATTTGCTCCCCAGTATAAACGTACAAGCGAGAAGAGCGCATTTAAAAGCAGATTCATCTTTCTTCATTTCACACACAAGTTCCTAATTTTCTGCTTTAGCATGCCCGGCTCGGCTTATCAGGAGAAATCCAAGCCTATATTACAGGAATAGTAATATCTGGTGACTTGGTTAGAATTATATGAAAATTTCTTAGGCTACGCTTAATTTATGCATTTTTTGTTGCAGCATGTTCTGCTTATCTTTCCACGGAAGTTTAAGGATGTCTCTTCTTGGTTTTGTCAATTGCATACTTACTACATATTTAGGTAGTTCTAAATCAATGGTATGCCGGACGTTCTAAGACAGTAGAAGTGTTTGTTATTCCACTCAGCATAAAAGCATCTAATTACATTGGACCATCCATCACACAATCACTCTAGCATGTTCCCGGAAGTTGCATCATTGCCTGTAATCAAGGTTGCAAAAGTTACTTCAAAAATATACTAAGGATATAGTTACAGTTAGTCATACAACAAGGTACCTAGGTACATATCTAGGTACTCGCTTAAAAATGTACCTAGGTACGGGTACAGTTTCTTGGAAGATACTTTATTTATTTTCCCCAAATTTGTCAAAATATGTTGGAAGTAATGGTTTTTGTTTTTGTTTTTGCTAAGGATACACAGAAAAACGAGTTCAATAAATGTGTTTTATTAGTGTTAATGTGATAAATAAGAAAAACCGCAATCACATGGACCGGTGCTGACGTCGACGGGCCCAGAAGATATTGGCCACATGAAGAAACGCACGAGTCGAGTGCATGCGCACCTAACCTTCGTGACGAGGATCGAAAGGCTTTAAGCTTCCCGTTTCTTTTTTTTTTTTTTTGTTTGTTTGTTTTCTTTCGTAAGTCGGAAGAAAACTAAGTTTTTTTTTTTCTTTCGGAACTTTACAGTATTGATAACTGCAAAATTTGAGTCCGATTTAGTGAGCGGAAACTGAAGTATATACGCGACGGTTACATTTCATTACGGCTGTAACTATAATTTATTTTCAATTATATTTTATAACGTATTTAAGGCTGCAGACAGCCCCCACCAGGACAAGATACAGGCAACCGAAACTGCGCACATCTTTCAAGTTGTTTCCTCCCATGTATAGCTGTAAGAGGAGCTTCAAACACGAAATAAAGTCGATTTCGGTTCCAGATGAAGGAAGCAGGTCGCTATTTTCCCTAAACGGAGTTCCGAAGCGATTCCATAAATCGGTGTCGCTAAAACGGCATCGCTAATCCACCTCTTGCTCAAATGAACACCGCCATTCGCTAAAGTGTCGTTCGAAGAAATATCATGGGCGGGGCCTCGTTCACTCAAACGTCGCTCGATCTAGTCAGTGCCTCCCAGGTCGTAACGAACTCAACGTTCACCACGGCACAAGGTAGTGTGTTAATACTTTAAGATTTATAGTTTCTACCATTTTGACGAAGCACATAGAAAAGTACCTGTAAAAAGTAACTCCACTTAGTTACAAGTTACTGGAAAACGTACCTAACATACAGATACAGATACCGAGAAATGAACGTACCTAGGTTTTCTATACCTCAGGTACAACAAAACTACCTAGATCCCGATTTTCAGTTCCTTGTACCTGGGTACTTAGGACCCTGCCTGTAACGTAAAATTCAAAACGTCATTTCTTAAATATAATAATCCAACGAGCTAAACTCATCCTTTACGCAACACTAAATACAATTATCTATATCCGGGGCCTCTGAACCCCGGCCCGCTGGCCAGACTTGGACCGCGGCTGGCCACGGTCCTTCCTGTGAAGCTCGGCGCGCATCCCGCTTCTAGCAGACCTGCTGCTACCGGCGCAGAAAGATGAAAGCCTAAAAAAACGCGGCTCCGCGACGCGCTCCAAATGCGCAAAAGAAGATACCGGGAAGAACGAGAAAGACTGCATCGTAACATGATCATGCAACCCTGACAGAACGTTGTCACGACAGGCATCACCACTTAGTCCCCGGCTTCATGTTTGTGTAACTATGTTAAAAGTCTTTTGCGTTTTTATGTACACCGCGTCAAGGTTAGTTTTTTTCATTCTCATTAGGTTTTTGCGCTGCGCGAATGTGCCGAAGTTTCCAAGCGCTTTGTTTTATGCCTGGCGAGTTTTCGCGATCGCAATTGTTCCGTAACGTCCTAATTAGCTAACTATTACATTTCAAAATGAAATATATGTATTCATCCAACTGAGGTTGAGCCGCCTCGGAGCCACAGAGTGGCGGGTTCGAATCCCGTCCGAGGTGCCCACATTCTGACGGAGGCTTATTCCGGAGAAGGCGCCGTGTAACCGAGATTTCGGTTGCACATCAAAAGATCCCCAGGCGGTCGAAATTAATCCTCGGTCCTCCGCTGGGGCGTGCCAGATGCATGTCGTTGGTTTGGCACGTAAAACTCCCAAATTTGACGTTGGTCCAACTTAGGTTTTTAATAATTTCTCCAACATTATTTTATGTTTTAATTCTCACTTTGTCTTTCCATTTTTGTCTTTCCTTTTTTTATATTTACTATTTTGATTCCAAGCAATCGAGAATGCGATAAATGCCTAACTTTTTTGGCACCTTAGCCAAAAAGGTTGAAAGCCCCTGATCCAAATTAAGCAAATATTTCATTTTATAGCACGACGTTTTGTACACACCATGTGGCAAGAATGTCTAGAAAACTCCGTGACATGCGAGCTATTTAGTATAATATTCAGTCCTAGGCCCTGTCAAAAAATATTGATGCGCGCTTGATGGGGGCGCCGTTCAAGGTGTTTCTCTCACGCCACCAAGCGCATTGTTCTTGAGGACAGGCTCATCTTGATGTACAAACAATAAATTGGCGTCGGACCAAGATAATGTTTCTATCTCTCAGCGCCGGGGTAGTATTTAGAGTAGAATACAATACAACAAAATGTAAGGTCAAGTTTAGATTCTATATCCATGAAAAGGCTATCAGATTTACGGAGACGCCTCTTACGATCCCCTTAGACTTTAAATGACGCTTTCAGTTTGAGAGGGGATGTTTAGAGGCATCCGTGCTTACCTGAGGTCAAGCTCTTCAAGTTTGTACGCAATGGGGGGGAAGTAGTTCCTGTGAATTATTCCGAGGTGGCAGGACCTGAGCTCAATGGTATCCACGTTCGCGAGTCCCGAGAGAGCCTCGTCTTCCACGTGTCCGAGTTTGGAATTGGAAATCGAGAAGGTGCGCAAGTCGCTGAGTCCGTCAAACCAGCCCTTCCGCAGGACGTCGACACTGCTGTCGCCGATGCTCATCTTGGATAGTCGCCTCATGGCCCCCAGATTGGTGTTGCCGAAGTCCAGAGTGGTATGGCTCACCTCGAGTACTTCGAGCTTCTCTTCCAAGTTGAGGAAGGTCGAATGCGCCTTGTTCGTCACCTCGCTCACCCTGTACACCGAGTTTAAGATCTTGATGGAGACCAGGTTGAGTCCGCTGAACAGGTCCACGGTGATGGAGAAGTTGATCTTGCGCATCGCCAGGGTGTGGATGGGGTATTTGGCCAGAATGTCGAACGGAAGAGTCAGAGCCCGAGGGCTCCTGACTCCCGAACACATGACCCGCAGGCCCAGCACCGTGCTGATACACTTGCACGGGTAGATGGAGTGGACGGATGGGCATATGCCCGCCGCGATGCCGGTACTGGCCGCGGACGCCAGGAGCAACACCATGAGAGGCGCCGTCAGACCCATGTTGACTGCACAGAGACCCGCCGAACAATGGCCGCGAGGAAATAGCGCTCGTTATCGGTATCTCTGTCCCACGATTACGGCCAGACGAGCCATTGTTTTTGCCCACGTCATACCGGGACCGTTCGGCCTACGTGCTCGGCTTCGCTACTCTATCAAAGGAAATCAGGTTTCCTCCGTACATCCTAATGACAGGTTTGCTTAATCTAATCGTTGATAAATTTTGCGCTTGAGTCCCATAAAAGACATGACAAACATAAGGCGTGCTTGTTTGCCCAAAAGGGAGGTGCCTGTTTCCTCAAAGAAATCTCCACTTCAGTTAAAGCCCCAATATAAGGGTTGCCAAAAATGCTTATTTTTTTTATTTTAACGGAATTTCCTTGATAGCAATAGACCTCGCAATACTAGGTGCGTGCGAGATTGGTTTATACTTATTTTTGCTACAGATAGCGGGCAGTTGAAGGTCGGTAGTTATGTTAGACTTCTTCACATACTCAGCATGAATTCAAATTTCCCACCAAAAGGAAAGGAGCATTTGTGCGCAGTTTTCCCGATGCTCAATAATTACCAACTCGCCGAACTAACCACCTTACTATGGCCTTTTCATGCCCTGCTAAAACCACTTTGTGGAAGTGCATCGCACCCACGCCCGGACAGCTGCTTCCAGGAAATCAATGACCAAGAAATGATGACCTCTCGGTAGTTGCGAGTTTTTTCATGGCCTCGAATAAGTGATAAGGACTGGGGCTAGATTTTCTCGTACACATGCACAATCAAACGTCCGAAAGGTCGTACAATGCGCCAGAAAGATGACAGAACACAATCAGAAACCGGCCAATCACGGCCCTAGTGAATACACGCCAAGCTGTGATTGGCGTATGGCCGGATTCAACCATCCTTCCAACCTCTCGTACGACCTGACTGCCATTTTGGGCCTGGCATCTCTCGTCCTGCGTGTGGCTAGTGTTCATTATTGACCAAGAACCTTTCCTAACAAACGTGTCTTCTGGTGTTCCGCAGAGGTCTGTTTTAGGGCCTCTATTGTTTTTAATAAATATAAAAGACCTCCTTAGCACTACTGCATCACAAATACCTATTTTTTCCAGATGACTGCTACATTTATAACAAAGCAACAAGTGTGCAATATAACATCCCAATTCAAAGCGTCCTAATTAAAATTCGCAAATGGTACAATCACTGGTCGATGTCTCTAAACAAGCCTAAATGCAAACTAATCCGCTTCACTAGGAAAAATTCTGTACTGTCCTATCAATACTACGTGGACTCTGATTTAATTAAGACTGTTCTATGTATAAATATCTTGGTGTAAGACTAACAGCGGACTTCTCCCAGAATAATCACAGTGAAGCCATCACTGCTGACTTTTCAAGAACCCTTGAACTAATGAAACGTAACCTACGACCTGCACCTTCCCTTGTCCGCAAGCCGGCGTACGACACGCACGTCAGAGCTAAATTAAAATATGCCGCTACCATCTGGAATCCCCATCAAATTTACCTAATTAACAATTTATAATCAGTTCAAAACATTGCTGCCCGTTTCATTTTGTTTACTTATGATTCTTCATTCAGTGTTTCCGCCTTGAAAAGTCAACAAACCATGTCCTCTTTGCAACTCCGGAGGAAAGTTTTTCAGCTCTGCCTTCTTACAAAATCTACTTCCGCATTCCAGACCTTAAAAAATTAGTTGGTATCGCCCCACGACTGAACATCTTCGCGCTTTAACAACACACGTGCCATCAAACGTATTTCAAGCTCTACGAACGCATTTAATCGATCATTCCTTGCTCAGGCTATCAGCGACTGGAACAACCTCCCATCATCCAAAGTCACCACTCTGGACCCGAATAATTTCCTACCTTGCTTTAAACTTCATTTTTCATCTTACTAGTCGTATGATTTGTGCAATTCTGAGCATTCCTGAATGTGTTAAGTGTATTTATCTTTCAGTTTCCTTTTGTGTCTTTCGTTTAATTGCGTTTCTTTATTGTATACATTCCTTGCGCGTGACATAACGCTAGGGAAGGACGGGGCCAAGCGTCATGCTGGTGGTTGACTTCACACCGCGCGGACGCGCTTACCAAGGTGTGGGATGCCGCTAATTGGCCGGACATGCGCTGGCATGCACCCTATTTTCAACCAAGTTACCTAGTCTTTAACATGCTCACTTGAAATAACGTGTCGATCCTTACGATGATGACGTTCAGCCAGTACGCGCGAAATTTTTCGGTGTTGGTGCGATTGCGCAACAAGCAAAAACTTTCAATATGCCGCGGCGACGAAATTTTGACGCGAAGGGCTGTCGTTGCGGCGAAAAAAGCTACATTGTGCGACACAAAATTTGACGAGTGGCTCTAGGGGTAAAATTGTTACGATTTTGCGAAGTACGAGTAAACAACGCAATGTGACCGCCACACTCTAAAACCAGAGACAAGGAGAAATAAAATAACGGACCCTCATTGTCTCAGGGTTTAGATTATACTGTTTTCTAACCAGCTCGCCTGAATACTTTCGCTTCCTGCAAAGGTTATCGTGTCGCGGACGGCACAAGCCGATGCCCCATGCAGCGGCGGCGTCTCGGCAAGCGTGCACACGGGGGCCGCCGCCGACCGATCGCCGTCTGGCCAGACTCGCGGCGCGGCACTCTCGCCTGCAGTCGGCAGGGAGCCCCGAAGATGCGCTCGAAGCGTGGAAACGGCGTGAGCGTCATGAAACGAAAGGCAAACGGCATCTACGACGCAAACGGACAAAGCAGATGCAAAGGCGTGCACGAACGTAAACATCGGTGGCAAAGTGCCGTCGCTCGCAGCCATAAAATGCGTTGCGCCAACTCAGTAATGCGCGGCCGCATCCCTTTCCTGCCACTCGTACTTCCTCTTACTTGACAGCTACTCTGTCGCGGGGCATGCCGACGAAACAATCGACGGGATGCGTAGCAATTGCTACTGCCCAGCGTGGCGCAGTTTGCCATGGCTCTCGCTGCGAGTTGCCGCCGGCTCAAACACCAGCATGGTGGATAGCGGTGTTCGACGTCATCATGTGACGTAGGTGCAAGGCACGCATAAATTTAAATACTCCCCCCTCTCTTATGTAATGCCCTTCACCGGCCTTTAAGGTGTAAATAAATTAAATGAAATGAAATGCATCTACCACCTGCTCTGGCCCCCAGTGCTTGTTACATGTACGGTGCCATAACAAAAACCCTACGAGGACGTCATTTCGTAACCATTGGTGATTTGAAGGTAAGTCTCCAGACGTGGTTGCGATGCGCTTCCAAAAAGTAAAAAAGTCCAAAAGGCGGAAGATATACCGACATCTAAGTGGCCGGTTTCTCTATAAAACAAATTGAAAATCAGTAACGAGCATAATCCCTGGAGAAGGGGAACGAGAGAAACAAAGGACAGCAAAAAAAAAAAAAAAAACTGTTGTCCTTTGTCCCGTTTTTTTTTCCCTTCTCCGGGGATTATTATTGTTATTACTGTCACGGTCGTTTTAGCATTGCATTAATTGTAGTCACACGTACATCAATATCGTACGCCCCTTGGACTTGTAAAGTTCTCGCTTTGTGAAATGTTGGTTTGATTTGTGTGTTCAGGTGCTATCTCCTCCGCCACCCCATTCATTACATATAGACAGAGATTTTGTACTACAACAGATGTACGGATATATGATGGTTTTTAAATTCATTGCGATTTTGACCGATGTCCATGCGTGCCGAAACAGATATCTGATGTCTTATACGTGTTCAAACTGAACGAATAGACCCCGACGGCTTTTGACACCACTGAGTCAAGTTTTCAAAGCTGTTAAGTAGCAGGGAAGATAGTTACGTCATTAAAAAAAAAACTGAGACTGGGAAAAATAAAAAATTGACATTTGTCCTAGACTCAGGTTTTCTTTCAATGATGTTTCCTAACCAACTCAACTGCGTACTTTCCCTCCTTTCAAGATGTAGTTAAGTGACTATTATCGCTATTATCGCTCATTGAGGCTTCATAGCAGTCACTTTTGGGGACAAACAAACTGAGAAAAAGAGAGGGAAAGAGTATTTATTCAGCCCTTTCGCACCCGTAACTGTGATGGATGGTGCACGAAAGCAGCCGATGTCAAACGCCCCTTGTCAAATGCCCCGCATCAAACGCCCCGCTCTTTTTGCCCCGTTTTCTCGACGTTTAAATTGTTTTATCTTACCGTTGAGCAGGAATCGTCGATTAATTCAGATATAAAGTTACCTGAATCTGTCTTTCCCTCTTTGCCTTTATTTCTAGGGGGATAGGGGGGATCTGCTTAGTTTCCGGCATTATGTGGGGCAGTTTTGGGGAGCTTAACTCAAGCTACTCACGGCTCAAAGTCTTAGCGTGCGTATCTTACCAAAACACTTGCGGCCTTAAAACAATACCAGATAATTGTATGTCTAATCTACTGCCCTTTTATGGTGATACGGCTACATTGTCGGAAGCCTGGCTTGTGGCGGTATCGCGATATCCGATATTTTACTTCGCTTTTTTTGTGTGTTTCGCAGAGATTGTAGTATACATGACTCCCACTAACGTCCCGTCAGCGGCCATTGGGAGGGGCATTGGCTGCTGTGCGTGACCCTGAGTAGTCCAGGCAACCGCTGGTTGATTGTCCTTTAAAGAATATACTACAACAGGCACTCCGCGGTTAATTTGGAGCGACAAAGTTCAGGACCGGATTGTCAGGTTTTGCGTCAAGCTAAATCGATAGATTTTTTTTCGTCGAGACTAGCCTCTGAGATCCACGCGTTTAGACAGATCACCCCCGTTCCGGGTACATGGACCCTTCCAACTTCCTGCTAGCACCTACAAATAGCCCAAGTGAGGGCTGCAGCTCACTCTTAGAGTAACTAAATGGCGAAACCCGAGTATCGCCTTCCTTTACCTTGCCCCGCCACCTTCGCATTGACGGAGGAGAGGTCACGTGCGCCAAATTCAGCGAGGTGGAGGGGCTTAGAGCAATAAACTGGTATCCCGTTCACCCGCCCAAAGTAACCACCACTGGCTG